CCAAAGAGCATTGCTTCCCTTACTTGGCCTGGGTGCTGGGGACACAGATTTGGCTATTACATCCACAAATACTCTTGACGACAGGCAGCAGGGGAGACAGGAGCCAGGGTTTGAAAGTTCCAAAGTTTACAGTTCCCACTGGGGTTTTGATTTGCTGGACCTGTCTCACCTTAATAAATTACTGAAGCTTCTCTTTGCCTTGAACTTTTCCTTGAGTCTTTGTCCCAGAAAAAATCTAGAGTCTGTTCTAAAAATTGGCCATCTCCCTGTTTGGCAGGTAAAAGGCTGCAGGGTGTCACCGTGAAAGGAGACCTCTCTATTAGATGTTCCTGTGGTTCCAAGCCCACTGAGAGCTGTGCCTCTGCCTTGGCAGAGAAACTCATCATTTGATAAGTTATTTCTAGCCCAGAGCAGCTGTTCACAGCTCAAGTTCAGCAAATGCCATCACTTCTGCAGACTCAGTTCTAGTGTTTCAGTATGCCCGGGGACATCATGGTGACCTGAGTATATGCCTTTGATGAGTAAACAGAGTGACCACTTGTCCAAGAAGTCACCCATTTGATTATACTCTCTCTTCTCATCTGCTGTAGTGAAGGCTCTTAGAAGCAAGAACCCGGACAGTCTCCTAACTCCAGATGCCTGCGCTGGAGTCTCCCTGGAGAAATCAGATCATTATAATCACAACAGCAAGAAAAGACTCTCTTTTGATGGGTGCTTATATGGCAGGAGGTGCGCTCAATACTTTCAAAAGCTACTACGCTCATTTAGAGATGAAAGAAAGGGGCTTCCATGAACTTTATGGCTAAGAAATAACAGAACTAGAGTTTAAACCCAGGTCCACCTGGACCCAAGGCTCTCCTTATTCCAATATGGCATGTGAACTAAAATATATGTCTCTATGTGCTGTAATGATGGGATGTGGAGACAGAAGTTCCTGACTGCCTGGCTCCTTCTGCCTACCGTTCTTCAATAGTTTGTCATTAATTCTGCTAAAACAACAGTCCCCTTGCCCAGCCCATCTCCTTCCTGTATGACAGCAGACCATCTTCCGTGGCCCTGTGGACATCCAAGCAGGAGGCAGTGTAGCTGGAGTTTTCCTGGCTGGCCCACGGTCAGGACAAATCTCTCTCACCCGCCAGTCCCGCAGTCACTCGGACCCAACCTATACTTTTAATCTATACTTTGCCATGTGGTTCGTGGCTTACCGGTACCTTACATCTCCCTTGTCATGGCGGCGGCTGGCAGTGTCATGGCAGTGTCTCTCTGCCTCAGCCTTCCACTTCCCAGAATTCTCTTCTCTGCTTGTCCCACCTATACTTCCTGCCTGGCCACTGGCCCATCAGTGTTTTATTTATTAACCAATCAGAGCAACACATTTGACATACAGACCATCCCACAGCAAGGCAGGGAATTGCAACAGGCACAGGCTACTGCCTACATTTGTCTTGTCTCTCTTTGCTGTCCTTGGGCAGCCATGCAACACAGTCCCTAGTTTTCAAAGGCCAGCCAAAGCTTCGGTATGATGATACACCATCTGTGACTTCTGGTAGACCTTAGGTCACCCCTTCTCCCTTTTGCAGATGCTTCTCCGTGGTCGTCAATGTCCCACTAATGCTGGTCTCTCTCTTTACAGAGGGGTAAGGACAGCAAGAGTTCTACCTTCTGTGCCCTGCTCTTCTGTTCCATTTTTCTGTGTAGTAGGGGTGGGTTGAGAAGATGGAGATGCCTCCATCCCTGAGAAGTACACCATTGCTTCTGTCTCCCAGATCTCTCCATCTCTTGGAGGTATACCATTGGTCCTGTCTCCCAGATCTCTCCATCCCTGAGAGGTACACCACTGGTCCTGTCTCCCAGATCTCTCTATCCCTGAGAGGTACACTACTGGTCCTGTCTCCCAGATCTCTCCATCCCTGAGAGGTATACCATTGGTCCTGTCTCCCAGATCTCTCCATCCCTGAGAGGTATACCATTGGTCCTGTCCCCCAGATCTCTCCATCCCTGGGAGGTATACCTTTGGTCCTGTCTTCCAGATCTCTCCATCCCCAAGAGGTACACTGTTGGTTCAGTCTCCCAGATCTCTCCATCTCCGAGAGGTACATTGTTGGTCCGGTCTCCCCCACCAGCAGACAGACTCAGGAGAGTGACAACAGAACTTTTTGCTCAGAGGTTCACTGTGCTCGGCACCTGACTCTTTTGGTGCTGTGGGGGTCAGTGTGCCAAGGACCGCTTTCTCAGCTAAGGGTTCCAACCTTTCCCTGTGATTTGGTATCCATGTCTGCCTGGGAACCCATGGGCTCCTGGGCTCACAGAAATCAGGAAATGTGGATGGAGGGAGTAGTATTTCCTTACAGGCACTGGGGAAAGCTGGGGAGGAATGGGGTGGACATGTGCTCTGCTGGCCCAAAAACATATCCTTTGCCATCTTATTCATCTTACCGCTCACTGTTTTTTCTCTCCTTCATCCCTCCTCCATATCAAACAAATTGTAGTTGACTGGTTGTTATCTTCTCAGAAACTGTGTAGACAAGACACAAAGCTAAAACTTCCCTCCCACCTTAGAGATCAAAAGCACAAGTTCTAAGAAGAGGCTTCTTTTATTATTTCTAAGTGTCCAAAGAAACAGTTTCCCAAACTCCAGAGAGATCCTGTTTGTCTGGCAGGAGGTAAGGGGAGGGGTGACAGAGAGATGGATTTGTGGGTTCTAGGAGCCCAGAGCCAGCCCTGCTTCCAAGGAGAGACATTTCAGCACACACTACACCAGGGTGCTCGGCAGACTGACTTGGGAGTGACTGGGCCTGAGGGGCCAGGCCAGTCGAGGCTGCCACAGAGATAAATGGAGTGGGCAGAGAAGCCAGGACCAGGTGGGCTTCCTGTGGAGGCTGTGGTTGGGCGCTGGCATCAGCAACCTATTGGAGCCCGGGGACACTGAGGTGACGCATTTTTCATTCTCTGTGGCAAGAAGAAATAAGAGCTTGGCAGTAGAAATGAAGCTGTTATAGGAAAATGAAGAGATTCTTAATCCTTGTGTTTGTGGCCTGGAATTTATGGCCTCCCTCACCTGCCTCTGAACCCCTTGTATGAACTCAGTGAGGAGGTTCACACTGTAAGTCTGGCCCTTCTGTCCTGGACCCAAGAATACGTAGCTGGCTGTGACCACAATTGCCTTCATTGTGCATGGGTTTTTTTTTTTTTTTTTTTCCATTTTATTAACCATTCAACAAAAAGTTTTAAATGGAAAGCATTTTGGTAAATACTGCACAGTTTTTTTCCAGGACCTTAGACGTCAGGGGGATGCAGCACATCATCTTCAGGTGAGTTTATGATGCTCAAGAGGCTGAGAGTCGGAGCTCTTAGAACAGCCCTAGTTAGCATGTGGACCGTTCTGGTCCTGCCTGGGTGTTCTGACGGATGGATGGTCTGCCTTAGCTTTTAAACAACACCTAATTTTGGAAATACCTCTGTTGAGGAGCCTCGCATTTTTTCCAGAATGTGTCCGCCAATTAAATTGACTAAACACTCAGATGGAGGAGCAGAAATCAGGCCCGGGAGAGGCTGTTACGGAGAAGGGAGGAAGGGCAGAGATGCGACCAGTATTGAAAAATACACTAAATTTCTGATTGAAGTACCAGATCCAGTTCCACAGGGCTTCTTAGGAACACTCAAACTGTTGAAAATAAAATGGGGGGGGGGGGAGTGATTACACACTGGCTCCTGTGTGTAGTTGTTTAATGAATGTGACGTGGCCTGCTTCTTCTTCCCGACATATGGCTACCGAGGAAGGAAAATTCTATTTTGATCACAGAGTGGCCTTCAGCAATTGGACACTCTGAGAGATGACAAACAGGCCACATCGTTTTCTCCTTGCTCACCACTCACTTCCTGGCACTTCTCAACAGGTCATAAACGCACACAAAATGCTAAGTTAGTGGGTTGCTACTTGTCTCCTTCAAGTTGAAAAGACACTTTTTAAAAATAAATTTTCCTTATGTCTACTTTTTTTTTCCCACATTTTCAACTCTGACATTCAAGTGCACTTTACAGATTGCCCTATAACAACATTTGAAACCCAAACTCAGAACGCCCTGGTGAAGCCATTCCTCAGGAATCTGCTGTGACGCACCAGGCCAAGCGCCTTAGCACTCCTGAAACAAGCACACTGTGGTGAGATTGTTAGAAATGGTTAGTACTACTTCCCTAACAAATCTCCACCAGCAACTAATTACTTGGAAGTTGTCCTTGCTTGGGTCTTTTGGTTAGACTGCTGACATTCTTCGGAACCTTCCAGAAAAGGTTCCACTCATTGGCTTCCATGACGTCACTCATTCTTGAGTTTCCAAATGTGTTCTAGACACTTCTCATCTGATTCTTTTGAAGGCTCCTCTTCCTCACTGGGAACTGTGTACCACAAAGGCTTGAGTTAATCCTATGCAAACACTGCTTACATCCACAGCTCCCACCCAGCCTCTTCCTTGAATTCCCTTGTGTGTTCCTATCCCATGAGTCCCTTTTCTCTTTCTTGAGTCTCTAAGCCTCAAGCCTGGCATCATCCTTAGCACCTCTTCTTCCGCTCTCTATCCTAAAATTGCTTTCTGTCATCTGTCATACCTTCCACTGCCACCACCTTATCCCTGTCATTATCATTTCTGGTCCAGACTTCTACAACCATCCCTTCATTGACACATCTTTCTTCACCAAGACCATAAGGATCTTTCCAGAGCACCTATAGGAATATATCTATTAATCTTTGGCTAAAAACTTTATCAATAGCCCTCACAGTCTTTAGGAGAAATTTTAAACTTGGGTCAGGCTGACAAGGCCTTCCTGATGGAGACCTCTCTCCTCTTCCAGGATCATCTCTCGCCTCTGGTACCCAGACTGGGTAGACTGCTTAAGTTTTCTATTCTCCACAGACTTCCCTCTGCCTCATCTCTACCCCCTTCTGGATCTATTAAGCTTCCCCCCCACCCCGAGTTTGTGATGTCCCCTCTCCTGCACAGCCTTCTCTGCCCTCCCTCTTTGCATAGAGACCCTGTGCATTCCTGTGCTCCCCATCACAGCACTTCAAGGGCTGCATTGCATTAGCAGCTTTACTTCCTGGATTCTTTCCAGAACCATAAAACGCCTTGCAGGAGAGATGCCCGTCATGATGTCTCTAGTGCTTACTTCATTATGGATGCTAAAAAATACCAGAAGAATGGATGAATGAGGATACCTTGCAGACCTGTTTTTGCTTGTCTATTTCCTGATTCTAAATTCTGAACAGGGAGATCAATTTGCCCTGCTGGAATCAATTCCCATCCTTGGTCTGATGTGCTGAGCAGCGTGTGAAAGTCAGGGTGGAGTTTCTTAGAGAGGCAGGGGCACACTTACCAGTGTCTTTCACTGAAATGATGGAAATAAATTTTGCTTTTCAAAAGCATGGGTTGTGTAATGCTCACTAGTTCATACAACTCATGTATGAATTAGGTAGGTAGCTCATCCTAAAGAGATAAAACGTAAAAGCTACAGTCATTTCTTGTTTATGGACTGGTCCTTCAGTCCATCCCCCAGTGTTATGGAGTTTCTGCTATGTACACAGCTCTGTGCCCAGTGCCAGACAGATAGGAGGAAAGGATCAAGATCTCTGCCTTCATGATGCTTACTTAAAAAGATACACAAATGCAACATTTTCGTTATAAAATTTAACTGGGGGAAAAGACTAATACAACAAAAGAATAACGAGAGTGGAATATAATTCAGATGGGGGGGGGCGTGTCCAGGAAGGAAGGCAGTCTGGAAAAGAATTACAATAAAGCTGAGGCCTGGCTCTCCTGGGAAGAAAGCCCCAGGGGAGAGCTGGGGAGGCAGGACTCAGTAGAACGGGGACCTGCATGGAATTACTATGACAGTCAGTAGTCTGGGACATTTTAGAGATGGAATTGATTATTCATCTAATAGGTTGTATATAAGGGTGAGTCAAAAGATTTGGCAAGATGAATGAGTTCAGGTTAAGTCCACGAATGTCCAAGCCAGACGGCCTGAGTTTCTGTCTTAGGGTTTCTATGACTGTGAAGAGACACCATGACTATGGCAACTCTTGTAGAGGTGGCAGCTTACAGTTTCAGAGGTTTAGTCCATTATCATCATGGTGGGGAGCATGGTGGTATACTGGCAGATGTGGTGCTGGTGAAGGAGCTGCTACGGGTTGATATACAGGCAACAGGAAGGGGTCTGAATGTCACACTGAGGGAAGCTTGAGCAAAGGAGACCTCAAAGCCTCCACAGTGACACACTTCCCCCAACAAGGTCATACCTACTCCAACAAGGCCACACCTCCTAATAGTGCCACTCCCTTTGGTGGCCATTTTTTTTCTAATCCTATTGAAAAGCTGTGTAACTTTGGGCACGTTACTTAGCCTCACTGTGCCCTGGTTTCCACTTTGACAAAATGAGTGATAATCATCGCCATTACCTCAAAGATTTGCTGTGAAGATTAAACAACTTACAATCTATGAACCTTTTTGACCATTGTGAGCATGTAGGTTTTGTTTTTTGATTGCTGGGGTACAGAGTGATCGAGATGGAGTCTTTTGTAGCCGACGCTGGCCTCAAACTTACTATGTAGCTGAGGATGACCTTGAACTCCTATCTTCCTGCCTCCACACCACCACACCCAGCTCTGCAAGTAGATTTTCTTGCAAACTGAAACAGAGAAGTAACCTTCCAGATCTCCGGGGTGATCACCGCAGCATGAGAAAATGAGTCTGGATTCCCAGTACCTACATAAAAAGCCACATGCAGCAGCCTGCATGGTATTCCCAGCACTAGAAAGGATTCCTGTGGCTTGCTGGTCAACCATTCAAGACAGCTCTGGAAGAGCTGCACTAACTGAGAGCTTGACATTTATTGAGAGAAGAAAAAAAAGTATCTGGGTGGTGAAGACCAGAGTTCAGCTTAGCAACCAGCCTGGGATTGCTACAGACCTCCGGAGTATCTATCTTTGGCTATGATTCAGATCTCAAAAGAGATGCTTGGGCAGGAAATGTCAATCTTCAAGGCCTCAACATAGCTAGTGCTTAAAGCTGAGGGTACAGAAAAAGCCAGGGAAAGGGTATAAAGAAGTAAGGTAGGAGCTGGGCGGTGGTGGCGCATGCCTTTAATCCCAGCACTCTGGAGGCAGAGGTAGGCAGATTTCTGTGAGTTCGAGGTCAGCCTTGTCTACAGATGAGTTCCAGGACAGTCAGGGATACACAGAGAAACCTTGTCTCAAAAAACAAAGAAGGAGGAGGAGAAGGAAGAAGAGGAAGAGGAAGAGGAGGAGAAGAAAGGTAGGGTTGACTTTTGAGAATCCTTGTGGCCTTCTGTGTGCTGTGTTGTTACGTACGTATGTGAGACAAGAGGAGATAAGAATATCTGGTGTACTATGAACACAAGGAATATGGGAGCCAAGAGGCGGGGATTCTGTTTCTGGTTTAATGGAACTTTATCATCAAATGGTTTGCTTTATCTTCTTAAGCTGATTTTGTGGCTTCTATCAATCACTGAGGTCTTCTCATCCAAAGACCTCAAGGAAAGCATGGAGTGTTTGTAGATCAAGGGGGTGTTGTGGCTGGTAAAGCCGGAAGGTGGGTGCATCATTAGGCTAGACCAAGAGAATCAGATGTCTCTAGACGTGTGATAAGCAGCCACTAAGGGCACCAAACAAGGATGCAGGATGACCACTTTGCAATCATCTTTTGGAAAGATGAATAATGTGGAGTAGCTTGGGAAGGCAGAACCCTCTGCAGAAGCTGGGGGACTAATGGTATGTCTGCTTCAGGGACCCAGGGTACCAAAAGCCAGCCAGGGTCCTGCAGCAGGTGACCAACTCCTATTCAAGCAAAATCCATGATGAGGAACCTAAGAGACTAGGTGACTTACTGGCTAGAAACAGTTAGAGAGAGGATGACACCAAGGCTTTGGTTTGTTTCTGATGATTCTTTGACGTTCAAATATTGCATTTTCCCCAACACATCCTCACTCCTTACAGAATTCTCTCAACACTTTCTGCAGTGATGACTCTCTAATTCTCAAATGTGGCTGCTCTGCCTCCTGGCAAAAATACACACATCCTGTAGAGATCACTCCAGCCCTGTTCTGGTGCTCCTGGTGAGATGATTCCTCAAGTTCATTCCCTTCCTCCTGTTCTTTCTTAAGCCTGTTCCCATTATCCTTGTACCCTCGACACCAAAACTGCTCACCAAGGTCACTGATGAACTGCATAGCCAAGCCTTAGGCCTCATCTGCTGAGCCCCTTTGGGTGCACCCAATGTGGCCAGCCACGTCTTAGGCCTCATCTGCTGAGCCCCTTTGGGTGCACCCAATGTGGCCAGTCACGTCCTCTTTCCCAGCACAATCTTCACTGGCATTAGGGTTCAGGTATCCTCAGCTATTTCTCCATGGTCTCTGACTGGAGCACTCCAGGGATCACTTTTTGCTGTTAATTCAAATCTTTGAAAAATCTCCTCCAGCCTCATGGTTTTGAATGACCTCTTTGCCCCGATGGCTCTCCAGTTCACTCCTCCAGGACTGTGCTCACTCAACATCTGCTGTTGGCTGTTAAGTGGACACCTCAGACACAACACGTCAAGAAGATTCCCAGTCCCTCTTCCACAGCTGTGATGCTCATACTCGCCTACCCCACTCCCTGCCCCCACCTCAGTTAAAGGCAACTTGATTCATCCAGTGCTCATGCCAAAAATCTTGAAATCATCTTTCTTCTCTTTGTCTTACAATGTACATCTAGATCTCCATGGTGCTGGCAATATACAATCATCATATATAATAATCATATATAATCATCATGCAATATCCCTCTAGCCCCGCCTCAGCTACCACTTCTTCATCCGCTGACTCTTGGCTCTACACTACTGCAATATACTCCCAACATCCATTCCTTCATAATCGCTTATCTGTCCTCAATACCCCAGCGCAAGTAAACCTTTTTTTGTTTTGTTTTTTTTTTTTTTTTGGTTTTTCGAGACAGGGTTTCCCTGTGTAGCTTTGCGCCTTTCCTGGAACTCACTTGGTAGCCCAGGCTGGCCTCGAACTCACAGAGATCCGCCTGGCTCTGCCTCCCGAGTGCTGGGATTAAAGGCGTGCGCCACCACCGCCCGGCGAAGTAAACCTTTTTTAAAAAGTGATCAGATGGTAGGAGGGTCAGTCAGAAGAGCACATAACTGGAAAGGACTTAAGTGGTGGACCCCAGCACACATCAAAGAGCTAGGCACAACAGCACAAATCTGTAATCACAGTACTAGAGTGTCAGAGACCAGATGATCCCTGTCGCTTGCCAGCCAGCCAATCCAGATGAACTGGGAACCTCTAGGTTCGATTAGAGACCCTGTCTCAGAACTGAGGTGGAGAGTGATTGAGAAAGATACCTAATGTTGAGCACACCCTTCACATGTGCCTACACACAGAGACACACACAGACACACAGACACACACACACACACACACACACACTACACGGGTGTGGGAAGCCAAAGCTCTACAAAGGCTCTCACCCTCCTGCCTGGTCTGCTCTCACTCCTTGACTCAGTGACCTTATAAGCTTTATATCTTCATGCACTCTGTTCCAAAGACCCTAGACTCCTCGCTGGTTCTCAAATACGCCACACAAGATCTATTTTCATTCACCCTCTTGAATGACATTGCTCATCATCAGCTATCAAGAAGGCCAACCCCACACTTTAATCTCAAGTCTGTACAAATGCCTTCTTCAAAATGATGATGACATCTGTCCTGTTTACTATCCCAGCCTCCCCAACTCTTTATTTTGCCCTGTTTTGTTTCCCTAGCACCGATCATGTTCGCTATCCTATGCAACGTGCTTGTTTATTATGTTCATTATTAATTGTCTCCCCCTGCTGGAACGTCGGTCCCACAAGGCTGGAGAGACTTTCTGTGTTCACAGCAGTATCCTGATCTAGGACCCTAGAGACACTGAGGAGACACTTGTTAGATGAATGAATGAACGAGTTCTTTAAGTTTTCAACTACAACAAGCTTCTTTCCACACAAGGGCTGAGTCAGTATCTTCACTGGGGTGTAGAATGGGCAAATACACAGGTGTTAAAGGGAAAATATTACCAGGAACAAATGATACATTGAGCTTCCGACTTCCGGTCTGTGCTATGATGTGTTTCACAAGCTAGAACAAGTGTCTGCTTTCCAACCAGTTCCTTCCATGTACCCTTCCTTTTCATGCTCTGCTCTTCTCAGGACGGGGAAGAGATGCAGGCGATAGTGTCTGCTGAGGGTGTGTCCTTCCCAGAATTCCATCTTCTTCCTTCTTACCTCCATACAATCCTTACTATGACCCAATATTTCAAATCCCCATAACGGAAAAAAAATTGGAGAGTCCTAAATTAACCAGTATCACCAGTGATTTTGATTTAGTTCATTGACATCTAGAGGAAACACAGACACTCACTATACCTTTGTATTAAGAGGGAGATAAGGAATGCCAGGAAAGCCGGGCAAATGACTGGGATGGAAACTGTTCCCAGGGGTTAACATGAGGGCACTTGAAGATGGGAAGAGGGACTCCACCAGAAAACACAGATCACCTGTGTAGAGCCGTCCTGAGACTTATGTCTTATTTCTGTTTTAGCCAGACTCCCAAGCCAGGATGCTGCTGGTACCTGGAATAGCTGGGAAGCTGTTTCAGTATTCCTGGAAGTGTGACTGGATGAGAAACAGCTTGGTAAGTGTGTGGTAAGTGACCTCTCCTACTTAACCCATTTTTTTTTTTTAAATTCCTGTCACTTCAATAACTCCTTATCCTGATGACCTTCTGCAGCATTAAGAACAGCTAGAGGGAGACTGGCCTTTTATTTTATTAAGTCATGAGCCCCTGTGAGTAATCCTTTAAGAAAATCACTATTATTTGTTTTACATGCAGAATTAGTTAACCTTGGTCAAGAACTCAGCAAGCAAAGCACTAGACAGACAGTGGGGATTGAACAACGTCTAGTTCTCTCTCCCCAGTGTGTGCCTAATGCCCCTCCATTTTCCTTCGAGATGACTATTTTCCATGTCTCTCTCTTCCGCTGAATATCTGTGTTTCTTCTTGTTTGGCCCCAGATGTCAGATTGGCTTGCGTTACTCCAAGCTGAATCATTTGATTTCCTGTCCATGTTCCTAACCTTTCCAGAGCCTCTTGTATCACTTCTCAGTCATCCCTGCTGTTTACAATACCTCTCAACTTAAAGCCATCTGCAGCTCTCATTAGCAAAACGCTGAATCAATCTCCCCCGCTAGTCCAGGCTGTACTGAGTGCAATTGGTGTACTGACACCAATTCTTTCTTCCCCATTTGAAGCACTACCTCTCAGGACTGCTCTCAGTTATTACCTCTTTTATAGGATTACACTCTTATTGCACATATAGTCTTATGCTCCCTGTCTGGACAAATCTAAATATGTGAAATCCAGATTCATGATTTTTTTTGAATGAGTTAGAAGGGCTGTTGATGTCCTAGGATGTGCAAGGACTTGAGTCTGAGCCTCAACAATCTCCAAGGGAAGAAACTGAGTTAGTACCCACTTTAAAAAACAATTATTAATTCCTTTAATAAGTCATCTGTCCTAGTATACCTAAAATACTTAGCTTGCAAAGAGAAAAATAGTACCCTACTTTTAAAGGTTAGATTCAGCCTTGAACATAGGTGCTTTACACCCATTAGCGAGGTGTTTTGGTAAATCTTCAAGAATATGATTCAAATATTTCACGTTAACAGCGAGAATCTGAGGAAGCCACTGAGTCTCTCATGGTTCACTGGCTCTTGGCTTCAACATGTTTTCAAATCTTATTCTTTTCTCAAAAACCTCAAAGCCTAATGCAATGGTGTATTTCTGTCATTCAGCACTCAGGAAAACGAGGTAGACAGATGGTGTAGGCCAGGCTACAGAGTGAGCCCTTGTCTCAAAATAAACAAAACACCCAGAACTCCTCTAGCTTCTTTTGTGCTGAGCTCTGGATGCTGGAGAGCTCGAAGAGGCATCCTGATCAAAGAGGCATCTAGCCAGTCAAGAGGGTGAAGAGAAAAACATCTCTGAGCACTTGCCACATCTGGACCTGCAATATGCATTAGCCCATTAGTTCTTCACTGAAACCCCACTGAACAGCTGGCAGAGCAGGAGTTTGGAGGTTAGGTGATCCGCCTTTGCTGCAGGATGTGTATGGACAGACACTCAAGCTTGCTGTCACTGGAGATGATCTGTTCCTAAAGAGAAGGGCTTCGTTTTAGCTGCTGGAGTCTGAGGTATCTATCCATGAAGTCTTTATGGACTTGGCTGTGTGTGGAGCATGTCACACAGACACATCCCCCTGAGAGCACACAGTGGGCAGGAATCAAAAGGGAGCAGAGAACTAGAGTCCCACAGTCCCCTTTAAGGGTGTGGGCTTAATGATCTAAGACCCTGGCAGGCAGCACCCCTTAAAGTTTCCACTGCTTCCCAATGGAACCAGCCCCAAGACAAGCCTTGAATATATTCAATATCCAAAACACAGCAGTAACTTACAACAGACCTTCAAAGAACAGGCACATAGAAAAATATTCTATCTTCTTAGTTATTGAGACTATATATTAAATAATTATATGCTACCTTTTACCAAGTTAGTAAAAAGAAAAATAATATTTGAAGCTGGTAGAGTTGCAGTAACATGGTCTCTGCTATACAGGGCTGCAGGGGATGTAAAGTGGTACAATCTTTTGGAGAAACAGTTTAGTTACAGGTAATAAGGACCACTGTAAGAGGAACCAACCAGATAATGAAACCCCACTCTGCCACTGAAAACCACAGGAATACTGGGTGTATTTAATGGCCTATAAGGACTTTCTGAATATTAAGAGAAAAGTCTATTGTAGAATAGCAAATACTATGAAATCATGATATATAGAGGAGGGGTGGAGAAAAAGGAAAAAAAGAGGAGGAGCAGAGGAGAAGACTGGAGAAACAGATACCAATTAGTAAACCAAAGTCATTCATAAGAAGGGCTTTTTCTATTAGTATCCTATGCCAGTCCTATGCATCGTGTGTGTGTGTGTGTGTGTGTGTGTGTGTGTGTGTGTGTGTGTGTGTGTGTGTGTGGTGCAGGTGCATATGCTAGTGGGAGCCAGAGATCGACATTGAATGTTTCCCTCGATGGCTTTTCCACTTCAACTTTTTGAGATAGGGTCCCTCAGTGAACCTGGAGCTTCACCCGTCCAACGAGACTGGCTGGCCAGCAAGCCACAGGGATCCTCCTGTCTCCACACCCCCAATCCTGGGGTAACAGACATGAGCATTTTATGCGGATGCTGAGCATCCAAACTCAGGTCCTCGTGTTTGTACCTCAAGCACCTGGTCAGCTGAGTGATCTCCTCGGCCCCATTATCCCATACACTTTACTAAGTTAAAAAGGCAAAGAAGCCGGGCGGTGGTGGCGCACGCCTTTAATCCCAGCACTCGGGAGGCAGAGCCAGGCGGATCTCTGTGAGTTCGAGGCCAGCCTGGGCTACCAAGTGAGTTCCAGGAAAGGCGCAAAGCTACACAGAGAAACCCTGTCTTGAAAAACCAAAAAAAAAAAAACCAAAAAAAAAAAAAAAAAAAAAAAAAAAAGGCAAAGAAACATCCACCTAGTTACACCACTACCGAAAATCACCAATCTGGCCTATTAAACTAAACCTGGCTTTGAAACTCTGAATCCATTGTCTTTCTATCCCATTCTTCTTTAGCTCCTAACCATGATTAAATCATTTCTTGAACAATTCCTTGATGACCTACCTATCTGATTCCATCTTCTGCTTTTTTATTACAAGACTGATTTCTCCCACCTAGAGAGTCTGGGCTTCTAAACTCTGCAACCCAGTGCTCTCCCGACAGCAGGCAGCTCTTCCGTTTCTTCAAAGCCTCTGGCGGGTCCTCTGGTTTCATCATCCGCTCCTGTTCTGTAAAACTTGACTAAGGCTTACCAGGTCTTCTGTTCTCGCACAGCAGCCCACCAGGATCGGGGTTCAGACATTCCTTTGTTGGATAGGGGCATCTCCCATCCCGCCCAGATAAATGTCCTCGGAGCTTCACTATGACAACAGAATCACCACCACACAGCTAACAGAGCCCAAAACAGGCGATGAAGCATCCTGCTCCTCCACTCCCAGGTTCCATCTCAGCTACAAGGACAGTCAATGCCTTAACTTATTTTTGAGATTATTATTTAATTATGTCTCTCCCTTTCCTTTCCTCCCTCCAAACTCTCCCATATACCCTTCCCATTTGCCTTCACATTCATGGTCTCATTTTACTAGTTGTTACCGCATGCACATATGCATATTCACATATATTTTAAAATATAACCTGTTCCGTTCATGTGTTACTTGTATGTTCTCAGGGCTGGATTTTTGGCACTGGACAACCAATTGGTGTGCTCTCCCCTGGGTAAACCCCTCCCAGTCTTAGCTTTTCTCAGCTGCCTGTAGTTCTTTGTACAGGGTTGATGCCTCCTGGCTTTGCTCTGTCCAGTTTGGGCATGTTCATCATTTAAGTTCTCAATTGGTCCTTGATTCCTTTGAAGCTTCCCAACTGTAAGTGCATGGATGCCCCACATTCCCAATTGTAAGTACATGGATGCCCCACATTCCCAATTGTAAGTACATGGAAGCCCCACATTCCCAATTGTAAGTGCATGGATGCCCCAGCTTCCCAACTGTAAGTGCATGGATGCCCCAGCTTCCCAACTGTAAGTGCATGGATGCCCCACATTCCCAACTGTAAGTGCATGGATGCCCCACATTCCCAATTGTAAGTGCATGGAAGCCCCACATTCCCAATTGTAAGTGCATGGATGCCCCAGCTTCCCAACTGTAAGTGCATGGAAGCCCCACATTCCCAATTGTAAGTGCATGGATGCCCCACATTCCCAACTGTAAGTGCATGGATGCCCCACATTCCCAACTGTAAGTGCATGGACGCCCCAGCTTCCCAACTGTAAGTGCATGGATGCCCCAGCTTCCCAACTGTAAGTGCATGGATGCCCCACATTCCCAACTGTAAGTGCATGGACGCCCCAGCTTCCCAACTGTAAGTGCATGGATGCCCCAGCTTCCCAACTGTAAGTGCATGGATGCCCCACATTCCCAACTGTAAGTGCATGGACGCCCCAGCTTCCCAACTGTAAGTGCATGGATGCCCCAGCTTCCCAACTGTAAGTGCATGGATGCCCCAGCTTCCCAACTGTAAGTGCATGGATGCCCCACATTCCCAACTGTAAGTGCATGGACGCCCCAGCTTCCCAACTGTAAGTGCATGGACGCCCCAGCTTCCCAACTGTAAGTGCATGGATGCCCCAGCTTCCCAACTGTAAGTGCATGGATGCCCCACATTCCCAACTGTAAGTGCATGGACGCCCCAGCTTCCCAACTGTAAGTGCATGGATGCCCTAGCTTCCCATAGCCATGAACCTCGACTTCAGGGCTTTGCACGACTGGACATAAAAGCCACATGTGCAGACACATCCGTTGCCTTCGGGAGGATCTGTGACTATGTCTGGGGGCAGAAGGTAAAGCCATGTGGAGGGCAAGTCCTGGCTACTTGTTACGGTTTAATTGTTTCCTTCCAAGACCGTGAGTTAGGACTTTAATCCCTAAACCGTAGTATTGAGAGTTGGAAGCTTCAGGGAGGGGATTAGGCAAGGAGAGCTTGGCCCCCGAATGACTAATGCTAGAGTTACAGGAATGGGTTAGCTCTTTGTGGGGGTTTCTAAGAAAAGCATGAATTTAGCCCTCGCCCCCTCTCTCCTTCCTGTTCTCCTGGTCTTCCTTCTTCCAACATGAGGTAACACAGCCTAAGGCCATTACAGAGGTTAGTCCCTTAACCTTGGACCTCCCAGCCTCAATAATGGTAAGAAATGGTTTCCTGTATTTATAAATGACCTAGGCTGAGCACAAAACAGAGTTATAGCAGGATGAAGGAAAACAGCCTAAGTCAGACCGAGACAATCCCGTACTGAAGTGACATTCATTCATCTCATATTGTGAGGTCCTTGAGAGCAATCTCTCCCAGCCTCTTGTACACCCCCCCAAAAATGTGCTCAAAACCGTCCACACTCAGTACCACCACAGCAACCTTCTCAAAAGATGAAGGAGCAGGAGAGAAATGGCTTTAAAAGGTGTGGGTGTTTCTGGCTTCCACATGGCACCGACTAGGAGATGGGCATCCAGCCTGGCATGAACGTGAGTCGAACAGCTTCAAAACTAGAGAGGCAGATAAAGTTTGCAGGAATCCACACTCAGCCACATACTTCAATGATTACATCTTTACACATTTTTGTAACTGATTCATGATTGTATACATGTGCATGTGCAATCCTTCCCTCTTTTTCTTCTTAATTTCTATACCTACTATATCCCACCCCCCCCCCCCCCCCCCGACACACACTTTTTTTTTAAGCAATTTTAGCAGGGGTCAAGATGTTGTGTATGATTCAAAATGCAAATAGTTTATCAGGGTTAAAAGGCAATTTTTCCCTCTTGTGGAGAAGACTGGGATCATGCATATCAAAACTGGAAGACTGGGACAAGTCTTCAGGTCAGTTTGCCTTCTGCATTTAAAATGAACCTAAAGTCTATTTGGTCCTGACTGAGATGTATGGGAAACACCAATGCTTTCTTCTATACCAAAAGATTGAACTTTTTTGAAGTGTGAATCCTAGAACTGCCCTCCCCAAAGTAAGCTCCCAGCACTGAGAAGATGGAGGGGAGGAGCCCTGGGGCTTCTGGCCTAGAGCCTGGCCTGCTTGGTGAGCTCCAGGGCAATAAGACTCTGGAAAAGGTGGACAGCACCTGAGAAATGATACTCAAGGGTATTTTCTGGCCTATTCACTTCCTGACCCGACATATGCACTTGCATGCACACACACGTGCAAGCAAGAAACAGTATCTTCCCTCCAACCTGAAACAGTGTTCTTTTCTTAGTGTCTCCACTCAGCTGATGGAACATTGCTGGGCTGTGGACAGAGAAAGAAGAGATGGACAGAACTGGGGATGAAGAGGCAGCAACCCTGAAAAGCTGGAGGTGTCGACACAGATGCAGGTCAGTGGCCTAGAAAGCAGACCTCCACCCCTCAGCATGGAGTGCAAAGCTCACAATGGTGTCCACACGCCCTAGACGAAGGGTAGAAAGGGAAAGGCCCGATGCAGCAGAGCCCCAGCGCTCAGTCACTGGTAACCGCTTCCACCACTGAAAGCTCATCCCAGGGATGAACAAATAATCCCTCAATGAAGAAATAGTATTACACCAAAAATTAACAACCACTCAGGTGATTTGAAATTTTATTGAGAAAATAGCTATTTTGAGATTATATCCAGTTTCTCATTTATCAGAATAAATTCTTAACAACAATGATTATCATTTCCATTTCTGGGTATTTACACATCAGCTCTAGGTAAAATACATTCACAGTAGGCAAGGCTAGAATATGAGACCATGGCCGACATTGCTGATTTTGATAGTTTACTTTATGAAAGACTACAGTATTTGCACACCAGATAGATGTTTAAAAATGTTTGCTATTCAGCCGGGCGGTGGTGGCACACGCCTTTAATCCCAGCACTCGCGAGGCAGAGCCAGGTGGATCTCTGTGAGTTCAAGGCCAGCCTGGTCTCCAAAGCGAGTTCCAGGAAAGGCGCAAAGCTACACAGAGAAACCCTGTCTCAAAAAACAAACAAACAAAAAAAAACAAAACAAAAATGTTTGCTATTCAAAGACAGGCTGGAGGAGATGGAGTCAATAGCACACATACATAGTTCTTGTCTTTTTCACTGCTGATCTGCCAGAAAGCTAAAGCTAAGCTACAAACACTTCAGTCCCACTTAAAACAGTTTCTATTTTACAAAATAAAATAAATCATATGACACCCGGCTCATCTTTATGCACTTAACTTAAAGGCTGCGCACACCCCTCCTCCACAGATCAAAATGCCAGCAGCCACAGACCCAAGAGCGAGCAGCCAGCATGGCCCTCTCCACCTTAAATGGCTCTCAGGGCTGATGCAAACTCTGGCAGGTCATTTCCTGTGATTTCCAAGGATCTGGGATATGTAAACTACATGATTAAAAAGGCTGTGCTCTAATTCGCGAGAGGAAAACTGAACTAAACATCAGAACTAAGATCCAAAGCTTTTCATGTGGCTGGATGCTCACCATTACACCAGCACTCAGAGCGAGCTGGTTCCGACGCAGAAATGAAATAAAGCTCGTCTAGTTACTAGTTACCCTCACCATCACCAGAGAAGCACACAAAGGCAGAAACCTTGTAATAAGCACAGAGAACAAAACACTCAATGTTCTCCTAAGTAAATGTCTCAGAACACAAATCCCATAAAACACTCACTTAAAAAAAACCCACAGTAAAGTAAGTTAGGGAAGCAGTGTATTAAATGGAGTGGCCATGATGTCTCCTGGGAGACAAGCATGTGGCCGCACAGAGCCTTGTTCAGACTGCATCCTCTCTACATGTGCCCACATGCAGCCTTGTTCAGACTGCATCCTCTCTACATGTGTCCACATGCAGCCTTGTTCAGACTGCATCCTCTCTACATGTGCCCACATGCAGCCTTGTTCAGACTGCATCCTCTCTACATGTGTCCACATGCAGCCTTGTTCAGACTGCATCCTCTCTACATGTGTCCACATGCAGCCTTGTTCAGACTGCATCCTCTCTACATGTGTCCACATGCAGCCTTGTTCAGACTGCATCCTCTCTACATGTGCCCACATGCAGCCTTGTTCAGACTGTGTCCTCTCTACATGTGTCCACATGCAGCCTTGTTCAGACTGCATCCTCTCTACATGTGCCCACATGCAGCCTTGTTCAGACTGCATCCTCTCTACATGTGTCCACATGCAGCCTTGTTCAAACTGTATCCTCTCTACATGGGTCCATATGCAGCCTTGTTCAGACTGCATCCTCTCTACATGTGCCCACATGCAGCCTTGTTCAGACTGCATCCTCTCTACATGTGCCCACATGCAGCCCTGTTCAGACTGTGTCCTCTCTACATGTGTCCACATGCAGCCTTGTTCAGACTGTCTTCTCTACATGGGTCCACATGCAGCCTTGTTCAGACTGCCCTCTCTGCTAATAAGTTAACCATCTCTGAAGCTGGAAACCAAGCCACACATTTACACATCAAAGGTTCTGAAAAGCCTACAGCAACTCAGCTTTACCTAATCCAGAATTTTCCAAACTTATTAGAAGAATATATTCTGCCAAACACCCTTTTAGAAACTACTCTTGCATAAACTAAATGTTTTTACCTTATAATTTTAAATTAATAATAATGAGAGCACAAAAATAACTAGCCTTTTTTTCCTTTTAAAGAAACTATTTTGTTCTGTTTGAGTAAGAGTCTATCACAACACACCCCTCACTATTCACAAGCAATCAACTCAAGTCTCCCTTTTATTGTATCATTGTTCAAGAATGCTAATTCTACTAAGTAATCCATGGAATACTTTCGGGGGTTGGGGGAGGACAAAAGACATTTTTGAAGCCTTTTTAATTCCCAGAGTCCCCATTGCTCCTGTCACGACGGTCCTAACTGTACGACAAGTAGCCTGGGCTCCTGGAGACTACAACACCCAACAGCAACTTCTGCACTCAACTATTTACAAACACTTGAAAACTAAAACCAAAACTCTTCCCAGCATGCATCATTATGAAAATCAGCATTCTGAAATCCAATGAAGCTTCAACAAAACCTTTCAGGGTGAAACCACTGCACTATGATTGCACGTAACCACAGATTTCTTTCAAATTTGTTTAAGAAATATGTAAGCACTAAGAAATAAATATAAACTTCCCATAACTGAACAACAGCAAAGGCGGGGGTGGGGTGGGGTGGGGGGGACGGACGGACATAGAATTCTTTTTTTTTTTTAACCACCAAGAACATACACAAAGGATAATCATTGTAACTCAAATGATCGCTGTGGCTTTGCTCAGGATTTCAACTCTAAAAATAACCACAACAAGACAAAATCGATTACAAACTCCCTTGACCTTAAAGCTATGTGCACAGCTATGTCACACTTCCGTGATAGAGGGCGGCCTCAGTGTGCACAGCGCCACACTGTGAATACAGAGAAAAAACAAAAAACAAAAAACGCAAGACAAGAAGGTATGACCACACAGAGACTGAAGAAAAGTCTCAAAATACTTTGTCCTCAAATGTGAGCCCAGCTGCCACAGGGGGAAAAAACACACAAAGTAGAAACATGAAATCATAAGCACTTTGCTATTTTATGGAAAAGAAGTTTTTCGTGTAAGGTTGTCAGAAAAACTTTCTTGGTAAGGCAGAAGAGAGTGTCATAGAACAATTTGTTAGAAACTTTAGCTGCCTTTTCTTTAAACTCAAGAACGAAATAAAAATTTTAGCAAGATATAATGTAGTTCTCATTTGGAACTAAATACTAGGTCTGTAGTGTTAAAATTTAAGACACATTTATGTAGATAGTAATAAACTTACTCTATTAAGTTTGCTTTAAAAATATTTTTTAAAAAATAGGCCGGGCGGTGATGGCGCACGCCTTTAATCCCAGCACTCGGGAGGCAGAGCCAGGTGGATCTCTGTGAGTTCGAGGCCAGCCTGGGCTACCAAGTGAGTTCCAGGAAAGGCGCAAAGCTACACAGAGAAACCCTGTCTCGAAAAACCAAAAAAAAAAAAAAAAAAAATTTTTTAAAAAATAATTAGACTCTGAAGGCATTACAAAAATAGAAGTGAGATATCCCATGGTTCTATCATTCAGCTTCCTACGTATATTTAAATTTATTTTACTGTCAATTATGTGTATATGGGGGGGGGGGTACATACACATTGTGAGTGCAGGTGCTCATGGATTCCGAAGGGGGCACCAGATCCCCTGGAGCTAGAGTTATAGGAGGTTGTAACCACCTGACGTATGTTCTGGGAACTGAATTCAGGTCCTCAGCAGGAGTAGTAAGTTCTCTTAAGTACTGAGCCATCTTATCAGCCCCCGCCCATACATAAACATTTATATTCTGGCTTTGAGTGGTTATGGCTGTGGCTGTCAAAAAACTGTTCCACCCCATGAAAAAATATTTTTAACGAGCTTGTTAGGTGCCCATGTTCGAAAGAGGCTCTAAAGAAACACTATCTAATTCAAATCCCACTTTATCACACGAAGCTAAAGTGGTTTTCTTACAAGAGTCCATTACCAGTTTCTGCCTCTGTTGATAATTTCCCCCACTTTTAGACTCTGAAAATTTTTAACTTAGCTCCAACATAAATGTCTTTGTTCCTTAGTGCTACTATATCTATCAAGAGTAAATCGTTAGGGGTTACAAGTAGAAATAAAAATGGTTGCTTAAAAAAAAAAAATGGGTCCTCTGGTACCCCCAAACAATTCAAGCACATTGAAACTGAGATTTGTTAGTTAATATGGCCCTCCCGTGAGGTCGAAGTTCTGGGAAATTCCCATCTCCCTTGTCTGCAATGTCTTTAGTGTTAGGTCACCACCGGGACACAGTGTTCATTCAGGATCTTTAACCTGTGGGAATTAGCAAACCAACTTTTCTAGCTCTGTACTATCAACAAAAATAAAAATGAGCAGAGTCCTTCTTTTCATACTATCCTCTACCTCCAGAAGACAATGGCTCACAGTATTCGGTCAAGGCCACGGACCACTTTTCCCGGCACACTCAAGCTTCCAGCACAAACATCCTGACGGGGGTGACATGGGCCCTTTGTCCAGTCTAAGAAATGATTTCCTTCTAAGAGCTTCTCTGTGTGCTTGGTCCTAAAGCGTCCTGTGCTCAGTCCGTTTTCTATCACTCTCTCGCTTGGACAAACAAAGCTGAACGAAGGAACCCAACATCTAAGTTCTCACTTGACTCTGGTTCTGCATCTACGAAATGTGGTCTTCAAGCACGTGGGCTACAGAATGGAAGGCTAAAGAGAGTTCTGGGCAGGGTGACCAGAAAGCAGACAAACCCCTTCACAGTCATCCTCTCCACCAAAAAGGACGAGTGCTTGTTATTCTAAGGCGAGTCTTTTGATTAAGAGTCCAGCACACAAAACACCACAGCGCACTTCTCGGCTGGTCTTCTGACACGATCTGCTGCTTTCCTCTCCACCAGGTTCTCAGTCTTCCCAACGCTGCGACCCTTTCATACAGTTCCTCGTGGTGTGCTGACCCCCACCCATAACATTATTTTTGTTGCTACTTCATAACTAATTTTGCTACTGTTATGAATCGTAATGTGAATATCTGATATGCAGAATATCTGATATGTGACCCCTGGAAGGGCTGTTTGACCCACAGGTTGAGAACTGCTGTTCTACATATTTAATCTAGACATCAGCAGTTTCACCAGAAGAACTTAACTCAATATTACCTTCTAACTTCACCCACAGTTAGATTTCATACTTGATTTTACATCTAGTAGTGTTGATACGGTTCTTTCTCTTAGAAATTTTTACTTTTCAAAAATAATTGTCCTATTTTTACATGTGTTTTACAACTGTAAGCTACTTCAAATACTTCTTGGAAGGCTTACTATTAAATCATAATTGAAAATGACTAACCCTGATTAAAGCATAAACAGACGTTTGATTAATGTACTAACCATCCATCTCCAATATAGATCAGTCCTAGAGACAACGGAGTCTTTTGATCATGACTTTCAAAACAAGATACTCAGGTTTCAGATTGCTGTAACTTGACTTAGAAGATGAATGACACACACAACCACACACACGCACAACCACACACACTTACCCAACCCTACATACACTTCCAGGCACACACTCACTTACATACATCCCCTTTCTTACAGAAGGATTATGAAACTCATGTGTACCTGACCTAAATGCACCCAAAAAGATGAACAAGACTGTGAATACCACCTTGTGACTCATTTAAAGCTTTCAAGAAACAGTTTTTACAGTGACCTAAGACTTTCCTCCACCCAGCACAGAGCCAACTGGGATGACGCAGGTCGAAGGCAGCTGAGCCTCACTCTGCTCCCAGCAGCCCAGTCTCTGGACAACGCAGCCTGGTTTCTGCAGGACCTGGGAAGCTTTGCTGAGCACCATGGTAATCTTGTAAGACACTGGGCCAAAACATGGTCTTACATTTTAAAAATCCCAGAAGTGGTTTTCGACAACAGAAGCACCTCAGCCACTAAAATAAGCATGTCTCTCTTACATGTAAAATCACCACACAGCAAATGTTCGAACAGCTCATTCAGCCACCAATAAATATAAATTGTCTCAGAAATCTGTTAGTTTTTACTTATTCCTTTGGATCCTGCAACTGTACTTAAAAATACACAGAAAATAATAGCTTGTCAGAAAGTGTGTGACTACATGATACACTTATTATTATGAAACCAACTGTTCTGAATGAAGTGTGGAGCACTGAGACCAGGCACGTGGGAGGTGTCTCCAGGACCCTCAGAGCAGCTCATCCCAAGGATGCTTAACAGTGAACTGAGCACAGTGCAATAAGGGTTTCAGCTGAATACTCTAAGATGAGCTAGACTTCCAGTTCTGGAATCGATACAAGAATGAGACAAGTGGGCATCAGTGTCTAAATACACAGGTCTAAGGCTGCCACATTCGCCTTTGCTAGCTTAAAGCAAACATATCAGCAGTACTTATTCACACCGCCATGTGCTATCAGGTGCGTATTATATAACCACCCTTAACACTTGCATACGTGGCACTAAGCCACCAAAGAATCAGACTTACAAGAGAATAATTAAAAAGCACATTCCTCACTGCTTTTTAAAGTTAAATTCAGGCTTTTCTATTGAAATAATTTTCTATTTTTCCTAGTTCCTGAAATAGGCATTAGACTGCAAAAAAGAAGATCTCAGCCAAAAAGCCACATATCAAGTATTGAGACAGGGCTAAGAAAAATAAGTTAATAAAATTAACTTAAATAACTTAAAAATGCACATTCAGAACAGAACTGCAGCTTTTAGTCAGCAACACCTGAACCAAAGGCAAAGATCTGCCATGATTAAGGCAGGATTTTAATATACAGTACCATGTATCTGCCCCACCCACCCACCCAGTTCGCGTAGCATTCCCCTTTATTTAAAATGCACTGCCAAGAGGAAATCAGAGATTCTCTAATTAAAAGGAAGTCACGTACAGTTCCTTCTGCTTTCCGTAAAGCCTTCCTTACACCCATTATAGCGTCTGTTCTTTGGGTCTCCGTGCACTCGGTCTGAGCACTCGGCGACTGCAGACAACCTTAAGACTTAGGCCGCAGCCGTCAGGGTGACAGGCGCTGCAGGGAACTACTCTCCTCCTCTGCTGGAGTCAGCCTGAGGGTGGGCAGCTTCCGGGGAAGAAGTTGAGGGCTCTGGCGGAGCTTGTCATCCATCTGTAGGAAGCACAAAGACACATCTGACTGAGGCGGAGGCTTCTCTTCGGCAGACGTGGCCTCCTCATCTAGACCCCAGCTCGGAAGAGAACAGAATTGGACGTCTGCAGGACTGATGGAGAGACATCTCTCTGACGACTGCTCCCAAATTATGACTGTCATCTCAAATACCGGCTGACTCAGTATCCGTGAAAAGCAATGTGGCTCGTCCTTGTCCATCACAAAGTTATAGTAAGTTCCACAAAAAAGAATACGCTGCTGAACTGGACCAGTGACTCACTTAAGACACCTTCTACAAGCAAGGGTAAATGTGATACTTCTAATGTGCTCTGCCAATCCCTCCACACTGAAGAACAGGCACAGTCCCATTCTTTACGAGGCTCAGGAGAGACAAGTCCCCTTTCCAGGTCCTAAAGCCAGCATCATGAACCACGTCTTCTTCTTCTAACACAGTTGTTTTTTAACTCCTTCCCTTTTCCAAACTGAAAGTGGCCAGAACGCCATGCAACCCCCCAGCCCCCAACCCTAGTTGAGAGTATGTGGACCAAAGGATGCTGGGAGAACTGTGGCAAGGACAAGTTCTTTAGGTCTAATCTAGAGGTCTGTCAAACACTGATTACTTCTAAGCCAACCTGAGAGAAACTATTAATTGTTTCTATATAGAAAAAAACATGACCAGAGAACAACTCTAGCAAGCAGCATTTACTTTCCAGCAAGAATTGTTTTTCAAGCATTATTCTCTCCCTTAAGCTCTAGACTTTTACTATAATTGTGAACAGTGGTGGCCAAGAAGAGCCGCTGCCCTACTGTGTTTTACCAACCATCACACACTTGCTGCAGAAGAGCAGATATGAACGCCTGCTGGTCTTACAAGACTCTCATAAGCTGAGGAAGACCCAAGGTGGATATGTGTAAAGTAGTGATTGGGCTCCTAATTTTACCTTCTGCCTGTGTGGGTATTTCACAGTTCCTATGCTGTATCTGTCATGGGTTCCACACATAGAAAATGGAAACTAGCTGGGTGGTGATGGTGAACACCTTTAATCCCAGCACTCAGGAGGAAAAGGCAGGTGGATCTCTGTGAATTAAGAGGCCAGCCTGGTCTACAAAGTGAGTTTCAGGACAGACAGGACTGTGTAACATGACTGTTATACACAGAAACCCTATCTCAAAAAACCAAAAGAAAGAAAGAAAGAAAATGGAAACTATGTTAAACAGCCTTCCCACTAGACGAGTGAGCTCCTTTAACCACACTTAGCACTTCGCACACATCTTCATAGGATGCGTATTGGACCGAACAAAGAATAGAGCCCAGCAGGCTTTCCCTCACACTACAAAAACTCGGACAGTAATGAACTCCGCAAATTCTCCAAATTCAACACCATGAGAGACACTGGAAACACAAGGCCATCCAGAGGACAGCCGTGATCACCACATCCTCCTGGTGACAACAGTCTCATTTGGGAGAAAACAGCTGCTACAGAACAATGAACTGCTACAACACTCATGTGGAGGCTCATGTCCCCGTGTCTACAGTTCCAGTCTCCTCCCTGAACCGACTTCAGCCAAGACTCAGGCAGTGTGGTCAACTGCTCACACCTTCACATCTGTGACCTGGGGACAGTTACAGTATCTGCACATGGAGCTTCTGGGAGGCTTGCGTAAGCTAACCCCTATGAAGCGCTTTTACCTCGGTGGATGTGAAAGCGAGCCAGTCTATCGCACACTTGGGGAGAATCTGCATGGCCCTTTCCCATGCTTCCAATCAGAATCCTCCTCAAATCTTGCGCGGTTGGCTCTCTCCGCTCCCCAGTTCCTCAAAGTCTCTCACACACTGAGAATCTCCAGAGTGACAAGCTAACCGGGTTGGTGAAAACACCGTAGACTACATTCAGGACAGAGAAGGTACGTGAGGGAAGAAGACAAACACGTTCCTGACAAAGAGGAGGGGCAGGAGTGCCGAGACCCTGCAGAAAGTGACTTCGGGCCAGAGCAGGGGCAGCAAGCGAGGCTTGCTTCAGATCGGCTGTCTTTGGAGGGAATTTTCATCTCACCCAACTGGACAAGCGCCAACTACACAGTAAAAGGCAGACCCAATACAATGATTCAGATTTCCCTCGGGACCATCGGGCTGCCGCTGGCTTCAAAACACCGTGTTAAACAGATCTCCACTCACAGTGTATATAAACAGCCTTTTGAAAAGTAAACTCTTTAAAACTAAGAGGGTAAAGTGAACACACAGCCCAGAGAACAGCGTTCCCACAGAAAGGAAAGGAAGGACTGAAGTAACTCGACCTGACCTTTTCAATTAGGTTGGACTCCTTATTTACAAGTTGGGTGAGTTTCTGCAGGTTGGCGTCTATCATTTCTTGTCCAGCTGGAGAGATGCCTGAGAAGCCAGGAGAGAAATCAGGGAAAGCAAGGAAACTTTGAAAGACTTCAAGCTATTTAAGATTGAAAAAAAAAAAATTTTTCCGTTTACCCACCCTCCCAATTGCTCCATGCCCCACCCTGCCCCCCGCAAAAGAAAAAGAAAAAGAGAAAAAATATTTTGGGTTCAAGGGCAAAGTCAGGAGGGACAGCAGTGCTCCACAGGAAACCAGAAAGGAAAACACTGGATGTGTTCTTAGAAGACACTGAGCACACGACATGCAGTCAGCTACAGCGGTTAGTAACGGCAAGGCGGTCTCAAAACTATGCTGCCCGCTTCCCTAATCACTACACACAGGCCACTGCTTATCACGCTAGAGGCGTTATAATTGCTAAAGTCGCAATTCCCTAACCGCTACTCATCAGGCACCCAAGACATTTAAAGGCATTTTTAAAAGCAGAGCCTTCTGGGATTGATCCCAGGACATTTTAATTTGGGAAGTATGGAGGAGCTGTGCAGTCAGGTTTGCTAGTCACTGGTCCAAGTCACAAGGTCGGAGGTTACTTAGTTCCCTAACTTCCCATTTCCTAGACTTCCCTATAGGTAAAGCAGATAATCCACCACAAAAAAATAGCCTGCTGCCTAAGCCAGCTATCTCCTAACTTCTGCTTCTTAAGAGGACAACTTCAGCCACCTCCACAGACACAAACACAGTGTGCCCAGTCCCTTAAGCACAGGCCCCCAGTCACAGAGAATTCCATCCTCAGTGTCAAGAGCCCTCTACTTACTCATCTCCAGTTTGCTGCAATCAGTTTTCAAGTAGACTCATGGGAGTGTACCTCACCAAAGTCAATCTGCTACTGCTTTCTGTTCATGAAGGAAAATGCTGGAAGCAGCAGGTAAGAATCATTTAAAGTGACTGCCTGTTCGCATGAGGACAAACACTACTTTTTAGCAGGGACTCAACACATGTGGTTTAATCTTTTAGAGGAAAATGACTCACTTCAGGGGGGGCAGTACTTTCAAAGAAGAGTCACATAAGACGTAAAGTCCAGAGGATGGTGCATGCAGGTCAGAGGTCTCTTTCTCCATGTAAGTAAGAACATGGCGGCAGACAGAATGGGCAAACCACCAGATCCTGAAGCTAGGAACCAGATCTAAGACAACCCACAAACGTGTTCTACTTCTGCACTGCCAGGAGACTATTACAACAGTCAATCTGAACAGACATTAGCTAAAGAAGAACCGACTTACCCCCAGGACCCCGCCTAAAGTAGCTGTGGAGGATGTCGTCACAGAGGCGGCACAGGTTGGAAAGCTGCTTCAGATGCTCCTGCAAGTGGACTTTGGGAAACCGCACTTTATAGAGTGGTGCAAGGAAGCCAAACACATAGGCGTCCAAGGTGGAAGGCCTGGAAACAACGGATTCTGTCAGGAGCATCAAAGGGAAGTCTGACTCGGACCGTATTTTGAAAGTTGTCCTCACACTATCTGCCGAGTCGAATAGGCAGCATCATGTTTTGAATGATCTACCATGTTTTTGTTTTCAAAAGTGAAGCGGCCAGGGTTTTACCTTCTAAGTAGTTTTAAAAATATTCTCGCCATTTATTTTAGTCAGAGGAAACTGAGGTTGTAAACTGCAAACGGTATGGACTGGAAGCAGGGTGGGAGGAGTTTTTGATACATTCACAGCCACATTTGCCGCACGTTAAGCTAATGTAAGATTAATGGCAACAGAAAAATTTCCTATAAAAGCCGAGAAAGTCCTGGGCTAAGAACTGAACCCGGGGCCTCATGCATGCTGTTTGAGAGCTCTGCCACTCGGCTATACCCCCAGGTCCCCTTCTGAAGTGAAAAACTGACCTTTTGGGGGATGGGAGAACCGGCTTTAACTCACATCTCACTGAATATACCCGCACAACATATCAAAAATGACTCTTTTCTTACATAATAAAAATGATAAGTTGTATTTATACAGTAAATAAGTATCAACAGTCTACACAAATCCAATACCAGCCACCAGCCCTGGGACTGAGGGGCAGCTGGGTGACTTCCTTCAGGGTGCTCCTCAAGAAGGGCGTGGCAGCATGTGTGCATCACACATGGCAGTGGCCAGTGGCTTCATGATCAGGGACATGCGCTAGATGGCCTGTGGGAGGAGGAAGCCCAGGGGCCGCTGAGGCGGAGCCTCACTCAGAAGGGCCCTCATCTTCTGCAGCAGAATCACTGGCCCCCACTTCTCTTTTCTTTTCTTTTTTAAGGGATAAGAGATAGCTTATTCTACAGATTCAGGTCACTCTAAATAGTGTGTCCCACCATGGCAGCCGTTTCAGGAAGCTCTTATAGTAACAAGGCAAAGAAAGCCACAAATCAAGCACTTTTCAAATATACTGGTGGAAACAGCGAAAAGGTGAATTCCAACAAAATGACTTTTAAGGGAATTTACTCACGTGTCACCAAAGAAAAACTGAGATGTTCCCAATCTGTTTGACAGGAGGTTCAGGCACTCCTTGGCATCTCTGTATATCTAAAAAGGATGAAAGACACCTTGGAGTAGCATCTCGAGGGAAGGCCACCGGTCTCCTCTCCTCTCCCTTCCCAACAGGGCTTGCTGGGAGAATCCCATACCTGGGCTTCCACTTCCTGGAGGTGGTAGAGGGGCGGTTCTCCCCTTGTCAAGAGAATCCTGTTCAGTGCCCCTCTAGACATCCTTCCAGGCAGGATCAAACTTAGAGGGAAAGGGATACGGGAGGCAAACCACGGTTTTGTCACAGTAAAGTAATTGTCGTTCTCAACCCAGAAAGTGTGAAGCTGTCAAAGGAAGGTTAAACAGTTACAGGGATGTTCTTCTGCTAAAACAAACATCGCTCAATCAATGTGACAGTTTTTTTCATAAAGGTCTTTGAATAAAGTAACTTCATTTAAATTTCCAGATAAAATGACTCAAGGTAAAATGAAATGATTTTAAACCTATGAATTTTGTTGGCCGCTGTATCTCAACACCCAGAATAGAGCCTAGCACATACTGAGTGTTCAGTAAATATTCACTGAATGAATGAACTTCAATATAACCAATTCTATCCATGGAGCAAAGTTTCATCTTCCATTAGTGGTGTTTATTTAAAAAACAATATTATGCTGGAGTGGAACTCAATGGTAGAATGGTTCCCTAGCCAAGCAAGCAAACAAACCAACCAGACTATCACTTCAGTGGGAAGTTAAAAGTCTAAGAGAATCCAGCTTTGTCATAATATAAAAGATCAAGGCTAATATGAGAAATTTCCTCTAAGACCCTCCCCCTCTTCTGTTCTTTCTAAACAGACCACAACATTCTCACTAAGTCACCACAATGCTGCGGTATCCAGAACACTCACCACGGCAGGGAGAAGCTTCTCTTCTAGGAGGGCGATGTAAGCCAGGGTATCTGCCCCTTGTTTTGCTGAGAGCTCACAGTCAGCATTATATTTCTATTCAAAACCAAAACAAAACGTCTCAGAGGTCAGAGAACATCCCAAGGACAAGGAAGCTGAGCAAATTAGAACTCTGATTCTCCCTCACAAATGTCAATCCTAACATTAAGAGGGGGGTAAATACTAACCCATTGAATACTGTTCCTTAATGCAAAGAGGGTTCTCAGCACCACACCATACACAGTGAACAAATGTTGCCTACTGTTTGTCGGCTGACTTCTATTGCTTCGACGCTCATTAATGGCCTTTGTTCAGAGTATGGCACGTGGTACAAAGTCCACAAGAAGCAATTATTTTTAATGAGAAAGGAAAAAACATATAGTTCTTCCTAATGTTTTTCTGCATATAAAAGGAAACTCTTCAATTTAGAATATGCTTAAATATTAATGATACAGGGTTTTTTCCTTAAGAGTACTGACAAACCAATTATAACTTTCGTGCTTATATGAATCTTTATGTTTAGACATCGCAGATTTACTACATAAATATTTATACTTTCACACATTTTAGATGCACGATTTCATAAAGTCTATAACTATCAGATAAGTGCTTCTTAAAAAGTAAAATACAACTCATGGTAGAGTGCTTGCCTACCAGTCCCAAGACCCCAGATTCAATTTCCAGTACAAAAATAAAATAAAACAAAAGAATAAATGATCAAATAAGTTGTGATTTGGTGGGAACTCAGGTGTCAAACTTAGCATGAAATGTATAGTAACAACGGGAATAAAGTGATAATGTTATCAGCAAGAGTAATCTTGAATAACTTAAACTGAATCTTATATTATTTCAATAAATTCATAAAAATATACAGTTATGTACTTCACTATGACTTCCAAATCACAGTGAAATGCATGCTTTATGGAACTAGTAAGCAAGTCTTTCTGTCACTGTTGTCAAAATCCAGGCATTCCCAGTTGGCCAAAGAATTGAAAAAAATAAAACCACCTTATAATGAATTAAAAATAAAAGCCAGCTCAGTGGCTTTGACCACCTTTAATCCCATCACCGGAAGGCAGCAGCAGGCAGATCTTTGTAAATTCAAGGCCAGCCTGGTCTACAGAGAGAGTTCTAGGATAGCCCAGGCTTCACAGAGAAATCCTGTCTTCAAAAAACCAAAATCAAAACCAAACAAACAAACCAAAACCAAAAACCTTCTGGGTGGTGGCTGAGCACACCTTTAATCCCAGCACTCGGGAGATAGAGGTAGGCTGATCTATGTAAGTTCAAGGTCAGCCTGGTCAACAGAGTGAATTCCAGGACAGCCAAAGATAGACAAACCCTTGTCTCGAAAAATCAAAACCCAAAAACAAACAAAACGCCATACAGGATGCCAGGTGTGATGGGTTACACCTATAATCCTAGCATTTGATGGCAGTCTGTGCTGCACAGTGGCAGTCAGGGTACAGTAGAGTATAACCTAGTCTAAAATAATAATAAAAAGAGTAACATGCAGAAAACTATCTAGTTCTTCAAAAGGAGCCACCCACCTGTTTTCTTAAAAAGTTTAGTATTTTTGCAGGCTGAGAAACAATGCTGTCTTCAGTTGTCAAAATTGGTACATCACCTATAATCAAAAACAGTTTACACACACGCAAACATCCTGATTTATTCTGAAGATTACAATACCTTAAAAATTATACCAATTGCACATGGGAGAGTGTGTGCTTGTAGTTTCACAAGGAGCAGTTCTGGAGAGCATTTTCATCTCTCCTATTTTCCACAGATTTGGCTTGCACTTTGAGTTATTACTCAGAGAGATCAAATCACAACCAACCCACAGCCAAGATCATTCTAAGAAGCTAAAACACCCGAGGTACTCTAGGGCTATATACCCAGGGCTTTAAATGCAAGAAGGGGTGCAAGTGTTAAAAGGGCAGAAAGGGGCGTGTGAAAGCTCATACTGTACCTCTGGAACCTCTCCAGGTGTTATCTATAACATTGACTTTCAAGGGTGCGCCAGAGAACTTGGCATAAGCCTGAAACAGAGTTTGCAAAAAAAAAAAAAAAGACATGTTAGACGGAGCAGTCATGCAGGTCTGCAGAGCGGCTCTGACAGCGGCTGCAACCGCAGAGGCCCAAGGCTGCCCGCGCCCCTCCCGGGTCTGCAGTCGGGGACGCGGGGCTGCAGGAGGGCTTGAGGATGCGGGCATGCGGGCATGCGGGCATGCGGGCGAGCGTGCTTTCTCCCACCGCCGGGCCGGCGCGGCCAGGCCGGCGCCAGCTGACGCCTGCAGGCGGCCCGCCCGTCCCCAGCGGAGCCCGCAGCCGGCCAGCCCGGTCCTCCCGCGCCCCGGCCCGCGAGGCGCCCTCACCAACACCACCAGGGACTCGCTGTGGACCGAAGGGAGCCCCCAGCCGCCTCCCCAGCAGCTCAGCTCCCAGGGGGCCGCCATCTTGCCGGGGCCGACCTCTCCGTCACCCGGAAGCACTGCTGCCGCCCACTCTCCAGCACGTGGCATGGCGGGGGCGGGACGAGGAGCAGGGACAGAGGCTGAAAGGACAGCGCCAGGCGTTGGAAGAGAATTTAACAGCCAGTCTAGGGGCTCAGAGGACTGTGCCATCAGGGAAACAGACCTGCTAGGCATGCTCAAAGTATTTGTGACATGCCGTATTACCGCCCACATCACTGTGCTACACCCAAATCTGTACAACGACTCTTCACACAAACATAGTTTAAAATGACATGGGGGTGGTTGGTACCCGGTAGGCCCTTGTAGTGTTCAGTCTTTACGATGGGCCGTTGCCTGCCTTTCCAGGCTCAATTTCGGTTGCCATTCCTCTGCTAGCGTGATTCGACCTCATTAAAAGTGAACCCTGTTCTGAAGTTTAGCAGAGGACTCCTACCTGCTCACAAGTGCTACTCCTTTAATCCAGAATAGCTTTCTTCTCCAACTGCTCTCCCCAAATTGAGGTTAGTGGGGCTGGAGAACTGGCACAGCTAAAGGTACTAAGGGCTCTTGAAGACTTAGCTTGGTTCCCAGCACCCAGATGGTGCTCACAGTCTGTATAACTCCAGTTCCAGGAGATCTGAGGCCCTCTTCTGGACTACATAGGCACCAACCGGGCGTTCATGGGCACACTTCCATGCATGCGGGCAAAACATAGACATAAAAGGAATTTTTTTTTTAAGTTAAACTTATCTTTCACAAAATTAGGAGCCCCTTCTGGCTTCCTGCAGCTCCTTGTATGCCCTTGAATTTTGCTTCTGTCTTAGTCACAGGCTTTGTGCCTCCCACTGTACAGAAGCTCTTCCAGGAAGAACAGGTCTGGCTTCGTAGGTGTGGGACCAATGCAGACACAGAGGTTCTTTGCTTAGAAAGCCTCAGTTCACTAACTGCTCTGCTGTTGCTATCTTGAAATCTTAATCTTGGCATAAAGGACTCTGCATTTTTATTTTAGACTAAACATTGTAAATCATTCAACTAGTCTTGTCTATGGGCCTAATGGGCATGTACTAAATGTTTCATGAACATTAAACCTGCTAATTTCTCAGAAAAACCATTAAAGAGATAACTTGGCATACTTTCTTTCAGAGGTAGGACCTGGGTGCTGTGTGGTTTTTATAGGCAGCGCAATAGTCTTTCTGGATTATCCTCTTGATACACCTCTGGGCTTTCTCTTTGCCTCTGTCACGAGATGCTTAGGTCTCCTTCAACTGAAACCTCTGCAAATTTCCATAATAATAATATTCAGCAATGTTTGCTAGATACTTCCTTAGCACTCCAAAATCTCAATGCTGACCTGCTATGGTATTTTTTAAAGATTGTGTTTCAAAAATAAGATATCCCAGAAATGAAAGAAAAGACATTCCACCCTAAGAATCCATTAGTCACATTTTTCAAGTGGGAAATGCTTAGTGAATGTACAGTTGAAACTAAACACATTTACTGAGCAGATACATCTGAGACAGTAGAAGACTTTGGAGGAATAAAAAGATAATGAGACAGGGAGTCTCTTCTTAGGAGTTTAGAGACTACAAATCGGACATCACACACAGGTAGGTATAAAAAGTCATTGTTGGGCTGGAGAGATGGCTCAGCCATTAAAAGCTAAGCTCCCAACCCAAACTATAAAAAGTCACTGTCACCAGTAAATTTAGAGATATATGTAAAATACTAAAAACAAAAAGAGGAACAGTGCGTCACTGTAAGGTTGTTGGAGGGTGTCTGGTTCATCTTCAATATAAAGAAGGTAATTTAACTTTCTGATTTAATGTAATGGAAACTTCATGCTTTGAGAAATAAAATTCCAAGCAATAAAGCTCAGAGTCTGTGTTCTAAAGCAAAGTATTTTAAAATAATCCTACAGTGAGAACGTAGATTCTCTGAGTCTTGTTGGCAATTGGGGTAGTGGGTGATCGGAACCTTTTGTGGGCATATAGTATGGCCCTTTCTCCCACCACTCCTACTGATGATGATTTAATTTGCATTATTGTTAAGTTGAGGCAGATAACAGCATCTTTTTTCATCTGATAAGAGAATTCTTTCTTAGAGGTTTATTTGTACCTAGTTGCTGCAATTCCTCTTGAAAGTCTATATCTGCTAGATTGAATAATTGAATTTTAAAATACTGGTGAACCTGATTGCACAACCAGGCTGAATATTGTTCCAGACAATGACAAAGAAAGCTTAAACCATCAGAAATCATGCCTGGTATGGGTACTTGGCTCCGGTAACTTTTCTGGCTGTTAAAGAGGTTGTTCCGAGTTCATCAAAATCATAATTTCAGATTCTTCCCAGGCAAAGCATTCTCACTATCTGCAAAGCATTCATGTATGGGCAGGATAGCCTGGACCACAGCTTTATAATGACTCTTCCAGACCACGTTTTCCCTGAACAGTTTTGTTTTTCAGAAGATGCACATTAAGTGGCTTCATCTGAACTCAGAGGACCCGACCTTGGCATCTACTTCTATTGCTCATGTGTTTCTTAGTTTTACTTGGGGCTATGATACAAGTTCTGTTGGAATCCCTGTCCGCCCATTTCTGTGACCAAGAATCTATGAAATAGAGTTGCTGGCAAGGAAACAGTTTGTGATAAATGATCATGCAGTGTGATCCCTTATGGGAGAGTTAAGCTGAACATCCTTGAATGTCCCTTAGTTTGTGTTCAGATATAGAAATCCTTAAGGAGAAAAATCCCATAGAAAATAGGTCAAGAGAACTGTGTTTTTTCTTGGCTTCTAAATTTGCTCTGAATTGTGAGCCAGTTATTACTTTGGTTCCGTGGCTCTTCGGTTATAAAGTGAAGGTTCTTTTAGCTCTGAGGCACTACCATTGTATGTATAACAAACATTTATTAATAACTGATATTTATAGAGCAATTCCTACATACCAGAATTGTTTTCACTATGTGACATAACTCTTTTGATTTCATAATAGCTCCATGAAGCAGTTCCTGTTATCTCTCCCAGCTTTGTGGAGAGATATTAACATACAAGGATGTTAGTTAACCTTCCCAAACTTTCACTAGGTGGGAGAACAAGGATTTTAACCCAGGCAATCTGCCTTAAAAGCCGAAACTCCATCTTAAACAATGTTACAATGCCTCCTATAACCTCCCAAGAAATCCATTTGAAAGTCTACTTTTTGTTTGTTTCTTTGAAGGTACTTTATTAAGATCTTTAAAAGTCTCCCTTGTGACACGATACACACATTATTACTTCTCTACGCAATGTTTAACATTAAGCAATTGAGCAAATTAGTTGAACAATTTCTGTGTACCTAGCACGTGGTAAGACAGTGAGGCAATAAAAACTGGCATTCACGTTTCAGATGAATAGTTGGTAAAATAAGAACTCTATGTTTGAGCTAACTAAATACTAACAAGGTGTACCATTTTGTCAAGACCATAAGCCTAATGTTGTTTTAGACAAAGGCTTTAAGTATATTTCCATGCTTGGAAAAGGCATAATGGAGGAAGCAGGGTGTTGATGACCTTGAGTCATGAGTCTGTTGGGCTTAGTTTAACACGAAGGAAAGAAGGCCACTGAGCTAAGCTAGATGAGTGAAGATGTGACATAGAAATGGGGGTGTCTATAGCAGGAAATTATAAGCTGGATATTGATGGGAAGGAGTGATGCTTAATTAATGGGTACCATGATTGGAAGTTGTGGGAAAGTGTAGTTTTGAAGGATGCGAAGGAAGACTAAAGCATCCGAACAGAACCAATAGATCCCCAGTCAAAGGCAACAGGAGTAATAGAGTTGTTTCATGAATATAACAGGAAGAGAAGTTTTATGAATCCATAAATTGCATCAAATGAAGCAAAATGGGCTGGAAAATGAAATGAGGATATACTGCAGAATATCATGAAAGTGATGCTGTTAGAAATCAAAGTGCTTGAGGATTACTAGAAGAAGCAGTACAAAGATTAGGGATGGGTAAGATCTTGAAGATAGAAAAGAAATAAAAAATCAGACTCTTGTAAAAGATAAAGTTTTTGAAAGAGTTGACAAGATGAATTGATATATAGATGAAGACAGAAGTGGCCACTGTGAGCAAAAGCCTGAAATACTGGAAAGAAGGATAGGATCCTAAGAGTTGAGGGGCCACCGTTCGGAACTTGAGCTGTGAGGCTAATACTGGAAATGAGTGGCATGTTTTCTCCTTGACACTGAGGAAGCTTGAAGCAGGAAGACAGGATGCTGAGTAAGCTCGAGTCACACTCCTTCAAAATTTTCTGTTATGATAGAAAGAAAAGAAAAGAAAAGAAAAGAAAAGAAAAGCTTCACTGAGGAAACTTGAAGCAGGAAGACAGGATGCTGAGTAAGCTCGAGTCACACTCCTTCAAATTTTTCTGTTATGATAGAAAAAAAGAAGAGGGTGAGAGAGGTTAGGGGTAGGGAGACAGAGACAGAGACAGAAACAGACTGGAACAATCTCCAGGGAATTGGTTGACAGTGACTAGAAACATTGCTGACTGTGCTCAAAATCAAACATAGTTCAGCATGAAGATAGATGATGCCAAAGGCAGGCTAATTATGAGGTGCCTTTAAACAGGCACTATTTAAACAGTCAACTTTTTTAGCGACAGTGATATTGATTTTAGAATGTAACAGGATCAATTTACATTTTACCAACAATGTTAAGTTTTTTGCGGATACCTGACTTTTAGTAAGTCTTGAGGAATTGTACCTAAGCACGATGGTGAGAAAAGGAGAAGGCGTTTAAGGGTCAATGGAAGATGGCATCCGTAGCTCCAGTGTGGTGGCGTTCAGCCATCATTAAGTCTAGCTGCCTGTACAAGCATGTGGCTTCCTCCAAAGATACTTTGCTACCCAGAAGCATGACTAGGGAGCCAGGTTTGTTCATTCATTAGGTAACTGTGTGGATCCTGACAGGAGGTGATACATATTGGAAGGGCTTCATTTGCCTCTCTGGTAGAGTGAACTTGAGATCTATGTTTTGTATTAAAACAAATTAAATGCAACAAAAAATATTTTAAAAATTATCTAATATGATGTTCAATGTGTCCTGAAAGAATAAAATGAAAATTGTACTTTGAATTTTAATTAT